TGTGGAATTGGAATCACTGTAAATGCTAAAAAGATGGCTGACTGTTAGGGCTGGAGAGAATGCTCATGTATTGTACAATGAATAATCCTGTTCGTTACAATTTGGGAACAGGAGCTCAGAGCACACTTATATGCAGTATTTATGGCTGTGCTGAGGGTATAAACATGAATCCCAGGAAGGTAAATATACATTGAATAGAGAATACAATAACTCTTTGCTAGCACAATGTAAGGTTAATTCACAACACAAAGTAATCCAAGACCTGCAGGATATGATAGATGCAGTTCATAAGTATCCTCTAGGATAAAGGAGATATTAATTAATGGACTGGTAATGGTTGATCTTGTAACATACCAACTAGCAAGGGAAGTTGCTTTGCATTAGTTTGAGCATCAGGGACAACTTATTATTTACACAGATGCTTAGTTATACATGCAGATGGATACATAGTTGGTTAACCACCTCCAGTACTTTTTGACAGGGACAACATCAAAGTCTTAGATAACAGCCAAAGGGAGCTCTTAAGCTTCATACAGTCACACGCCACAACACGTACATAATGTCCCTTTACGCAGAAAACTCATCAAGTAAATTAATGTTCAGTTTAGACCGGATTACATTTTATCATTCCAACTGAACGGTTTCTAGCTTCCATCTGTTATTTATCCGTGACACAGCAGCCATTACTAGTGTTGGTATAAGAGCAGAGATTAACTTCTAGAGAATGACATGAGGAACAAAACGTCTTCCATTTCAGAAGGTTTGATGAACCCTATATAGCTAGTCTGTCCATAGACCCCATTCTAACGCACAATATAGAAAATACACAAACAAATATTATAGATTATCCTTTTAAATTTCATAAGGCTACTAGACTTACACAGCAATTGATACAGGAAGACCAATACAGAATTCTAGTTACCTGATAGATATTACATTTACAAATCGCTGCGGTTACAAGCCACTAGGTGTAAGGTACAAAAAGGAAAAAAAAACAAACAATATATTATAGCTATAGATTTTTTCTTATAGAGATTTTGGCATATAATCTGCATTTCCCTTATCAATTCTCCATTGAGGCAAAATTCTGAATTACCACTAATATATACTGTAAAAATAATAAACTTACATATCTCAACACTCACACAAACCATTGTTATATTAAAGGACAATTTGTCAACTTGTAGTCACTTAAAGGAGACCGTAGTTTTGGTGCTTATTTAGACGGTTTCTTTCATAGTATGATCTGTACTATTACCACAAATGGGATGTGCCTTTAGCTAACAGGCATGAATGACTAGGCATACAAAAACAAAGTCCAGCTGAGCTGCAAACTTTTTGCTTTGATAAATGCTTATGACAATAGTTTTCAACCAGTGAGCTGGAAGAGTGTTTGCTCCAAAAAAAAATAAAAAGGGATCAGTATTTTCTCATCTCACTTGAAGAAAACAATTTAATAAATTAGATCAAAGTGAGCATACCTTAGGGAAGTAAAAACTGCTGGTAAAGTGATTGGTTCCCTACAAAATTAAAAAACACAAGTGCATGAAGGTCACACTGCTCCCTCAGAGATGACACTGGATATGACTCACAGTCCAAGTCAAATGCTATTAGGAAATTGGACACATAGGTCTTGAGGAATCTAGGAGAACATTTTGTAAGTTCCCAGCCTCCAAATAAAACCGTGGCAGCTGTAAATACTGCTACCAGCTCCATGGGTCCCACATTACTGAGCATGGGTAGATAGATGGGGATGGATCAGACATGAAACTATCTATATCTGGTGGATTCTGTGTTATGTAAGCTTTCATCAGACCCAGCACAGGGTGTACAATGGGCAATAATGCACACAGGGCTGTCAGACACTGAGCTCAGTGGGGAGCTGGGCAGAATAATACAATGTTAATAATAATAATAAGTAACACAGCCACCTACATCACATTACCTACCTATGAGATGTCAGATCCTGTCACATGAACAAATAATGGGAGATTTGTAAACCAGGCTCTTCAATAATTGCATAACAGTCACAGTGAAAGCACCATGTGTACTCTGTGTGTACGTAACAGCACTGAGCATACTGACAGCCACAGCCAGGGAAGCCAGAGTACATCCCAGCACATCACCTCATAGCCCCGCCCCGAGTCACAGTCACGTGACACACCGTGCCAAAACACAGACACACACACACACCGGACAGCGCGAACAGCTGCGGAGATGGAGTCACGTGAGACGTCCAATACGACTTCTCGCGAGAGTTCAGCATGAGCGTGTATTTGCGATATGGACAATTTTTGCATAGGAGAAAGTTAAAAAAAATAATAAAAACACACGCACAACTATAGTGTGTACCAACACAAACTGCTAGTAAACATATAGATTGTCAAATAAATGTAATTGAAAGTCTGGTCCCTCTCATCATCGCTGTCAGTCATTTGCCATCAGTTGCTGTTGGGTGGGGGAGGTGTTGCCGTGGACACAAAATTCTTAGTGAAGCAAAATTTCAAAAGGAAAAAAATATAAAAAATACATTTTAAAAACAATAGCACGCCCTCCCATGTCACGAAAATCTCCCAATGTTCAAACATCCTGCACAGATTTTCAACATGACATTTAACAATAATCCTTCTAATTACAGCCATACTGTCCTCATGTAATGCTTATTGGTGACTTACATGATGCCCATTCATAGCCAGCACCCTGGTACCCATTTGAAGGTACTGGCGGTACCAGGGTCAAAGTTATTGGCCCTGGTACAGATAACCAAAAATAACCCTGTTCCTGGTACCGCCAGTACATTCAAATGGGAAATCACGTTATTAATAGGCGTTGTGTAAACGATTATTAAATGGTTTTATAGCGGTATTCCTGTAACAGGGACATAGATAGCCTCGCTCCTCTTTCCCTACCTGCCTCGTCTCCATGATGTGTGTGACACAGACACTGATAGTTGCTTTGCGACTGTTTTTGCTTAAAGTATGAGTATGGATTTTACACATTACTTTACACATGAAGTGGATTTTGAAAATTACACAAAGCAACTATCAGTATCACACACATCATGGAGACGAGGAAGGTAGGTAAAGAGGAGCGAGGCTATCTATGTCCCGTCCCTGTTACCGGCATACAGCTATAATACCATTTAATAATCGTTTACACAACGCCTGTTAATAATGTGATTTCCCAGTTGAAGGTACTTGAGGTGTGCTAACAGTCCACATGTAAAGGGGTGCAATACTTGCCTTTCCCCAGGCACTGTTTGGCATAGAAGTCTATCACAACAAATAAGTGACAAGAGAGAGCAGGAAAACCACTGTGCTATTCATCCAGCAAACAGTACTTGCAAATGCAATGCAGGGCCACTCACTGTACTGTGCATCGTGTAAATATGGTTATTGCACGTAGATCGTGGCCAACTCTTTGGCACGTGAGTATTTTATTGTATATTTCCATTAATCATTTCACCCATTCAGGTTATAACAAGTGCACAGTGGCCAATTCTCCTGCACATTACTACTTGGCTGCATATGTCAATGAATAATTTCACCCATTCAATTGCACGTAGACAGGCTGAAATGTAGTCTATATTCAATCTAATTCAGAGGCTGTATTATACATTCTGGACCATGCTAAATATAGTGTTCAATGTGGATTTTGCAATGCAAATTATAGTTAATGGAATTGGGTTATTTTAGGGTATTTGTACCAGGGTCAATAACTTTGACTAGTGGTTATTCACAAAATTCAGAATTTTGTCCAAATGGCTAAAATAACTAAATTTGCAAGTACCATATTTACACAAATTCAGTTGAAGTTTGATCATCTCAATAAAATAATAACATCAAATTTAGTACAATCAGGTCTGTTGTTCCCCCTCTGGGCTACTTCACATGCCCTCATTTTCCCTAATGTGTGGGAGTGTGGGATGGGGGCAGTAGTAAATCTCCTCAGATCTATTTCATGTGCTCCCACCTGATGCTAAGGAGTGTGACCTGGTTGGCTCATTGGCAGAAACACCCCAGACTTTTTTTCAATGCCCTCACGACAGAGTTAGATGCCTCCCTTCCTTAGAACTATTATCACTATTACATTGGGGAGCCTTAGATAAATCTGGTGAACAGTGTCTACATTTTTGAATACATTGGTTGATACAGAATTATGCTTGCTAATCTGGAGGGATTTGGACTAGTGAATAAGCCTCAATGTAAAAACTTTAGTAATAAAGTATACACATAATCTCACAAAAGTGAGTACATCCCTCACGTTTTTGTAAATATTTTATTATATCTTTTCATGTGACAACACTGAAGAAATAACACTCTGCTACAATGCAAAGTATTAAGTGTACAGCCTGTATAACAGTGTAAATTTGATGTCCTCTCAAAATAACAACACACAGCCATTAATGTCTAAACCATTGGCCACAAAAGTACACCCCTAAATGGAAATGCCCAAATTGGGCCCAATTAGCCATTTTCCCTCCTCGGTGTCATGTGACTCGTTAGTGTTACAAGGTCTCAGGTGTAAATGGGGAGCAGGTGTGTTAAATTTGGTGTTACCATGGGACACTGTGCGGCCACAGCTCACACAGCCCCCTCCAGCCAGGGCCGGTGCAAGGATTTTTGCCGCTCTAGGCAAAAGTAAAGTTTGCCGCCCTCCCCCCCATGTGACATCACAATGCCCCACCCATATGATTTGCCATGTTAACTAACGCCAGTGCTGCAGTGCCGCCGTGTTTACATTAAAAGGCCTGCAAGGACAGGCTATAGACATCAGAACCACTACATTAAGCTGAAGTGGTTCTGGGGACTATAGTGTTTCTTTAATGTGAGGTAAATTAGAGCTTAGTGCCACGAATAATATACTAGATTGCCTACTTACAACCAGATGAGGATGATGATGGGCTCTAGCTGCAGTCTGGCTCCACTGGTCTGGTGTAGAACAGGCTCTCTGGAGGCGGTTTGTAACTGTGGTCACAAAAATCACTGTTCTGGGAGAACGGGAAGCAGCTCCATTTTTTGGGGGTCCTTTACACAGCTCAAGGTCTGGGTCCCAGGGTCCACCTTCATGTTCCACCAATGAGTTTGTTCACCTTCGGTGGAGTGTGTAGGGGATGTCCTGATATGTGTGTAAGGAATGCATTGTGTGAAATTGTGTTTGTATGTGTAAGGGCTGCAAGGTGTGTTTCTGTGTATGTATGGGATGCATTGAATGTGTGTAAGGGGTGCATTGAGTGTGTGTAATGAATGCATTGTGTGTTTCTGTGTGTGTAAGGGATGCATTGTGTGTAGCAGTTTGCATTGTCTGTGTGTATGTGTAATGCATTGTGTTTTTCTGTGTGCAAGGGGTGCATTGTGTGTATGTGATGAATGTCAATCTCTCCTCCATCAATTTCCTTTCCTCCTCCCAATTTCTCTTTCTCACCCCCACCTAATTTCTCTTTCCCCCTC